TGACCCATGGAACCTCAGGCTCTTTACCTGCCACTAGTAGTTAGTCTACTCCGTGAGTAGCTTCGCCTACTGTATTCCGGAGTAGGTCCGTGATACACCATCATGGTCAATGAATACCGGGCCGAACTTCCCTGCCACTGCAACTCAACGTCTGTCTTGCCACTACTAGTCCTGTACGAACTACTTTTACTACTACTCGAATGTATCCAACCATGTGGCCACAGGGTGCACGCATCACTGATCTCTTTCATTTCATATCATGTTACGATTAGTAGAAGTGTTCCTTATCTCCCGCAGCTCTAGATCTTTTCAAGGAGAGATGTCAGTTCCACTCCGTTGTATGCCTGGTTTGGCCCCTCGTCTGCCTAATATAGGCCCGATGACTGACCGGCCTGAGAAAATTTAGTCCCTGTTAATGCGGCTCTTCAGCGGAACTATGACCGTCCCCTCGAATCAACGTGAGTTCACTATTCGACGGCAATTTCCGGTGTGCATCTTGCTCCTCTCTCTGGAGCCACTCAGGGCTTTCCATGGTTCGAAGTAGTTAGCGCTTTAATATCGAGTTGCTCACTAGCACATTCTTTTTACTGCAATGGGAAATGCTGCCATTCACCTATCGAGTCCGCTAAGGCCTGGAGTCATGTCCATTTCCTGATTTGCCGAGTACTCATCCTTGGACACTCTGTTCTGGTACTACCATGCAAATGGTGACTAGACGTTGGGAGATTGGCTGCTTGCCGGTTCCCCTGAGCATTTACGTATATAGTCGTCCTCCTCATCCATGAATCCTCTACAGTTAGTTCTGTGGCTTTGCTCGCGGCAACCAACCCTCCTAGCAGATGTTTGTCTGCGTCCCTTCGTTGTTATATTCCACGCTCATTTGATAGCCTCCACTGGCTATTAGCCTGACCGGTAGTCACTCCTTTTAAATAATGGTATTCATCAAAAGCCTCGCCGTCGCTACGGCAGTCTCAGCCGTCTCTCCTTTGGTGCATGCCTTCGACGCCCAGTCGAAGTCCAATGTTGCAGTCTACTATGTACTTAAATCTAAGCTGAGAATATCTCCAGCGTAGCATTCACTGACCATCTATAGGGCCAAGGGGCTAACCAGCCGCGCCTCAGCCATTTCTGTCAAGAGTCGGCACTAGATATCATCAACATTGGATTTGTCAATGGATTTCCTGATCAGAGCCCTGCCAATTGGCCTGGCAGTAACTTTGGCAACCAATGTGATGGACTGACCTACGAGATTGGCGGGATCAAGACCGACTTGCTCTCAGGCTGCCATCAGATCATGGAAGATATCCCCATCTGCCAGGCAGCCGGCAAAAAGGTTCTATTGTCCATAGGAGGTTCTACCCCCGACAATCAGGAACTCCTCTCAACAGAGAGTGCTATTGGATTTGCCGAATTTCTCTGGGCATCCTTTGGTCCCGTGGACGATACTTGGGTGGCATGGGGCGGTCCCCGTCCGTTTGGCAACGTATCCGTCGATGGGTTTGACTTCGATATAGAGCACAACGGTGGTTTTGGTATGTTATAATATGCGCGTGCCTCTGAGGTTCCTTTGAATAAGTTTCAAAGACTAACTAATCTCAGGGTACGGAGCTATGGTCACTCGCTTTCGTGAGCTTTTTGCCCAAAAACCTGATCGGAAGTTCTACCTGTCTGGGTCCCCTCAATGCCATATACCTGATAAGCAACTGAGCCTCGCCATTGCAACATCCGCATTTGACTTTGTCTGGGTGCAATTTTACAATAACGATGATTGCTCTGCTCGTAATTTCGTTACTGGGGAGGGTTTCAACTTTGACGCCTGGGTCGATATCATCAAGTCTGGCGGGAACCCAGCTGCAAAGCTCTTCGTCGGCCTGCCTGGCAGTGAAGCTGCGGCGCTTGATGGGTACTACTTGACTCCTGATGAGGTCGAGCCTTTGGTCAAAAAATACATGAGGCTTTATCCTGATACATTCGGAGGTATCATGGTTTGGGAAGCGACCCAGTCTGACCGGAACAAGATCAACGGGACTAGCTACGCAGACAACATGAAGAGAATCCTGACTGAACTGGATCCTACGCCTCCCGCTCCGACGAGGTCCCCTTCTAGCTCCGCTATCGCATCAAGCACTCTCATTCGGTCGAGTACTCCAGTCATTTCTGGAATACCAACGCTGTCAAGCACTCCTGCTCAGTCCAGCTCGCTAGCCGCTTCTTCAACCCCATTGACGTCTAGCACACCTGGCCATTCTAGCTTTCCTATCGCATCAAGTACTCCCATTCATTCTAGCACACCTGTCCAATCGAGCACTCTTATTGTGTCCAGCAGCCCTACTCGGTCCAGCACGCCTGTCCGGTCTAGTACTCTAATTCGTTCAAGCACTCCTATTGCGTCAAGCAGTGCTATCCAGTCTAGCACACCTGTTCAGTCTAGCACACCTGCTCAGTCTAGCACACCTGCTCAGTCTAGCACACCTGCTCAGTCAAGCACACCTGCTCAGTCAAGCACACCTGCTCAGTCAAGCACACCTGCTCAGTCAAGCACACCTGCTCAGTCAAGCACTCCAGCACGGTCCAGTACTCCAGCACGGTCCAGCATTTCAGCTCACTCAAGCACCCCTATTGTGTCCAGCATTCCTCTCCGGTCTAGCACTCTCATTCACTCTAGTACTCCTATTATATCAAGAAGTACTGTCCAGTCCAGTGCCCCGCCTCACTCAAACACTGCTACTGCATCGAGCACACTAGTTCATTCAAGCACCCTTATTCAGTCAAGACCCCCGTCATCATCAAGCATAATTGCCCAATCAAGTACCCCAGCCAGATCTGCAACTACGTCAACGCCTAGCGTCCCTCGTTGGTCGTCTACCCCGGGCACATCCAGTACACAATCTGCATCTGCCACTGCCAGTCACTCGAGCTCGCCTATCAGCTCTATGTCTTCGCTAACATCCGGGACCCTGACGATATCGAGCTCATCAGTTTCCCCAGGGACACCATCTGCCTCGGCCATTCTGACAGAGACGATTTCGCCAATGCCTTCCGGAACACCCATTCATTCTGGGAACACCGTTTCTTCCGGGGAGCTTACCTCGTCGAGCACTCCAGTTCCTTCCCCCCCGCCGGCCACTTCCGGGGGCCCAGGTCTGTCAAGCTCAGCAACGGTTTCCGAAAACCACTCGCCTACTAAGACGGATGTGTCGACAACGTCCAATTCAACTGGTATTCCGGCACCCTCCACTGTAGCTGCACCATCTACTACTCCTACTTCAAACTCCTCAAGCACTTCCACTACCAGTTCAGACCAAACAGGTCAATCCAGCCTTACCCAGTCGCATACCTCCCATAGTACTACTGCCTCCTCGTCGACCCACGCAGCCACATCGGCGGGCACGGGACCGGACAACGGAAACGCAACATTTACGAGTACGATTACTTCCGGAATAGCGACTCCTACCGTCACACCTACAGGTATTACCTCGGAGCCTCTCACTGTCACGACTGTTATCGTCACCTCGTACGTTGATATCTGTCCCACGGGGTTCACGACGATCACCACGACTTATACCACGACATACTGCCCTGGAACAGTATCCGCAACCGCTACAGCTACGAACCTTCCCTCTGGACCTGGGTCCCAGACCGCTATCTCTACTCCCCCTGAGGGCTGGACCTCAACTGTGACTGTCTGTACACATTGTGCGCCAACACCAACTACGGTGACACTTACTCTGCCCATGACTACTACAACTGCTCCACCTATCATTGTGCCAGCACAGCAGACCACCAATGTTCCACCTGCTGAGGATTGGACCACAACAGTTACTATCTGTACAGAATGTGCATCAACGCCAACTACATTGACAATTACTGTTCCTGCCGCGGGAGCTGGCTCTAAATCCACCAACCCTGTCAGCGCCACCACTGTCGAGCAGACTAGCAGCCCATCCGGACATGAAAGCTCCCTTAACCCCGTAGTTACAAATACTGTCACTAGTCACAGCCAGAACCTTTCAAGGACTTCTTCTGTGATTGTTGGAACAGGCCGTGCGCATCCGTCATCCTCAACCTTGGCTGCCAGACCCTCGACTAGTGAATCTCGAGTTCCTGTGGCTCCCAACGAGACGCAGGATAATGTGTCACCCATCTTCACGGGTGCTGCATCGCAGCCTGCTAGACTAGGCCACGGAGTTGCTACTTTCGTCGCTCTTATTTTGGCTGTATTCCTTTCGATGTGAAGCCTTCCGCTTCTATGACCATGGCCAATGCATTCGATTTACTTTTCACTTCTAATTACCCCTCTTATTGAATTTTATTTCTTGTTCCATTTCTTACTTTCCCCACATGCTTTATCCAAAGCATGTCATTCATTAAGCTAGTCAAATGACCAAGTAATGTTTATATGTTATGTACCGGAATGGAAGACGTCTGTTGATTATTTTCATTCTTTGAACTGGCTTTCTCCTGTGTCCAAGCCTTAGTCCCTCCTTTTTGTATCTCATGATCACAATAAAATCGAATGTCTCGTTACCGGGAATTATTACAGGAACCTGGTACAATACCAACAAGCTCTCGGCCAAGCCGGGACGATCCGACAGAACCAAAACTGTATTTGATACAAAGGCGGTGGGAGCGGTGGGGTCACCATTGTTTACTAGTATGAGGGCCAAAGGGATCATAGGTTGATCTTTATTGAACAGATGCCCCAGGGTCACCGCTGGTATAGAAACATGGTGTATATTTGAAGCGTCCATTTCAGGGTACTGTACATACATCGAACCCCAATTCCGTGCTATACAAGCTGACTATTATAGTCTACTGTTATACAAAGTACGGAGGTGTTCATGTATCCAGGTACCAACGCTAATGAATCATACCATCATGGGAACTATGGGTCTACCTAGCTTCGCTTCGCTTCAGCTATCGCTACCGTACACCCGTATTATCCATCCATACAATGCTGAATTGTCAGGGTCCAGGTTGAGGATGGATCTGGGGCCAGGCTAAAGCCCCAATCTAAAGCCTACGCTCCAATAGCAGTGCTTAATCCCCTTTTGCCCTTAATTACCCCTCCTATGTTTCAGCTATTTCTAGAGCATATATCTAAAACCTCCTTTCCTTCCCCTTTCTTTACAATACTCCACTCTTCCTCTTCTCTTCCATTCTACGATCAGATCTTGCTCCTACCAGAACCACAATGGATTTCGTCAGCAAACTCGCCGAAAAGTTCCTCGACAAGGACAAGTCCAGCAGCAGCCAAGAAGGCTACGGCAACCAGGGCGGATACGGTGGAGGTGACCAGGGAGGATACGGTGGACAGCAGTCCGGAGGCTATGGCGGCGGCTACCCTCAACCGCAACAACATTCAGGCCCTCAAGTGTCTCCCCCTTGGGTCGCCCGGTGGGATGAGCAGTCACAGCGCTGGTTCTACGTGAACGAGCAGACCGGCGAGAGGACCTGGAACCACCCAGGCCAGGGCGGTGGCTACGGACAGCCGCAGCCTTCCTACGGTGGCGGTGCGCCTTACGGTGGAGAGCAGTCGTATGGCCAACAGCCCTCGTATGGAGGATATGGTGATTCGCGCCAGGGAGATTACTATCAGCAGCAGGAGCCTAAGAAGGATCACTCTACGGCGAAAATTGCGGGTGCTGCGGCTTTGGGTGTGGCTGGTGGAGCGTTGGCAGCGTATGGTATCCATGAAGCGCGTAAGTCTTTTTTATCTCCCTTTACCGCCATTTCTTGTTTCTCCAGCCCGGGTATCCCCATGTTTGTTTGCTTTGCAACGGGACTGACGCCTAGTAGATGAGAGCTGGGAAGGGAATAAGGAAGAGGTGAAACAAAATGTTGAGGATTTCCCTGAAAATGCGGCGGAATGGACCGGCGAAAAGGTATGTCTTTGCCTCTTTCTTCTCTTATGTCTGTTTTTTTTTTTTTTTTTTTATGCATTGGATTCATGTTCAATCGGGCATGTTCGGGTTACTAATATATGCATCAGGTCGGTGAGGTCGAAGCAGGCTGGGATCGCGCCGAAGATCGAGTCGAAGAAGGCTGGGATCACACCGTCAATGCGGTTGAGGACTTCCCCGAAAATGCTGCAGAGTGGACTGGCGAAAAGGTCGGAGCCGTGGAACGGTTCGGTGATGATATGCACGATGCATACGAGCGGGGAGAGGATGAGGGCCGCCGTGACGACGATTGGTAGTTCTGGGAATTCCCAAGTATTCCTCGGTCGGATACTGCAGGGTTTGGTTTAGAAGAGAACTTTTAATGTCGAATTGGATTGATATTACTACCACTCGAAGTTGGTTCTATTGAAATTCATGGGGACTATTCCCTTTCGGGAACATTCAGGGGACACCCCCCTGTTATGTCACTATTTATGCAAACATTACGCTCAAGCACTCATACCTAGGTAATAAGTAGTAGCATCTGGCTATACACCGCAGGATCAAGAGAAGGGAAGCCGAAGAGGAACTTCCTCTTGACCATACGCTTCCCCGCACGTGTCCCCCGGACCTCGGTTGCGGAGTGTGCCTCAGCATCTTTATAATTCAAGTATGTGATACTCGTCACATCGCGGTCAAATCTTCTGTTTTTCCTTTTCTAGTTGGAAGGGGTACCGCTTGTTAACTTCAGACCCAAGAGTTGACCGCGTAACTGTCTGATCAATTCATACAGAATGTCCACCACACTACCCCTCGCAGGAATTCGCGTGGTCGAGCTTGCAGGCCTAGCTCCCGGTTGGTCTTGACCGCAATTTAAATCTGCCGGTAGTATACCGGTATACCTAATGTGATTACGTGTTTTACTGACTGGGACTTACAGGTCCATTTGCTGGACTATTGCTTGCAGATTACGGGGCGACCGTGCTGCGCATCGATCGGCCAAATGCCGTGAGCAGCGATCAGTTAACGCGTCGGAAAACCTCTATCACCCTGGACCTACGAAACGCAGCATCACACAGCGTCCTCCTTTCGGTGTTGGCCAATGCCGATGTCCTCATCGACCCTTACCGCCCCGGCGTCTTAGAACGCCTGGGTCTTTCCCCATCGGAGGTCCTCCTGAAGCTTAACCCTCGCTTGATTGTGGCGCGCATGACGGGATTCCGACGAGACGGTAAATACAAGGACATGGCGGGTCACGATATCAACTACATCGCGGTGTCGGGTGTCCTCTCCATGCTGGGGCGAGCAGGTGAACCTCCTTATGCCCCGGGTAATATCATTGGCGACTTCGCGGGCGGAGGTGCCATGTGTTTCATGGGGATATTGCTGGCTCTGATGTCGCGCACACGTACAGGGCGTGGCCAAGTCGTAGAGGCCAACATGGTCGATGGTTCCGCGTACCTAGCGGCGATGCCGCGACTGAACCGACAAACACCGCTGTGGAGCGAGCCTCGCGGACAGAACACCCTAGACGGCGGCAGTCCGTTTTATGACACGTATGAGACCAAAGACAAGGGCAAGTATTTCGCTGTTGGAGCGTTGGAGCCCCAATTTTATGCTGCGCTACTCAAGGGGCTCGGGTTCTGTTTGGAGGAACTTCCCTCACGCGACAATAGAGAGAATTGGCCGGCGCTCCGAGCGGCGTTTGCGAAGCGATTCAAAGAGAAGACGCGAGCGGAGTGGGAATCTATTTTTGACGGCACTGATGCTTGCGCGACACCAGTCTTGGAGCAGGATGAGCTCGAGCAGGGGGGCTTTGAACAACGGCCTGCCGTTCATCTCGTTGATACGCCAGCACTGCCCATTGCGGCCGACGATGGGGGCTGGACGGGGGGTGGCCTGACCCCCGGGGAAGGTGGACAGGAGACGTTGGAGGCCTGGTTAGGATGGAAAGAGGGTCGCGAATATGATGTCAGATCCGATGGGGCCTTGATGAAGACTGGAGAGGAGGGGAAGGCGAAGCTGTGAGGATGAGATGATGATACTAGTAATACAAGGCGAACCAGATAATACGGTTGTATGGGTTGATCAACTTGATTGTGTCCGCGGTTCGGATGAACTCTCGCGGCCGTAGGGCTGAGGTCCCGTGCACTCGATTTGGTAATCAACCCCCTCATCTGATGGTCCGACTCGAAATTACTACTTTTGATCAGTGGTGCTGTCATTGACTTTTGAATTCAATCGGAAGGGCAGTGCATTAACGTTTGTACCTATTACTAGTTTGATGTCTAAAACCAGAGAACGAGAAAAGGGTAAAAAGGCCAAAAAAGAAGAAAAGGCAAGCAGCACAAAAAAAAAGAAAAGAAAAGAAAAGAAAAGAAAAGAAAAGAAAAGAGAAAAAAAAACGTTTGTCATCTGGGACAACTTTATGCACCGACACTTTCATCCCGTATAAAATCGGTCCAACTGATCTATTCCGTATCTACGTCCAATCTCCTGTGCGTGATTAAAGCCAAGAAATAAAGTTATTGAGAAAAAAAAGTACAGGGTGAGACAGTCCGATTCATGGCGAGCTGAAAGACCCATCCCAGTCAGCCGCTGGTTGGAGGAACATGTTACCGTGCCAATGTATGTAACAACACATGTTAACTTCGCGGGGGTTGATTCGATACCCGTGTCATGGTCACGTCATTATTGGTTATTTCCGTCCGGAATCGTGCATCCGTCCTGAGAGATCAGACGCGATAGGTTACCACTGGAATCAAGGTCACAATCATGCTATGGAGTCGTACTACTGGTACGGAGTAGTACTACCGTATCTCGGGCTTGTCCCAAGATAACAACCAGACTTGGAAACTTGGAAGCTCTGAGGGGTAGGAAAATAGTTAAGTCAATAAAACTGAAAAAAAAATGAAAAGTAACTTTGCAAAACTAAAACGGTGGCCCCAGCTGACAGGTACGATGTTACTTACAAACCCTGTACAGTATAGAGTACTACCGGTACCTGGATCATTCTGAGTCCCCTCTCCCCCCTTCCATTTTATGAAGCATTCCTGCCTTGTTACCCACTCGTCAGTTCGAAGCTCGGACATCTAACTACAATTTCGGCTGCTTCATTTCCCGAGCCTTCCGGATGTTTCATATGTGGAGTATTCTACGTCATTCATCTGGGTTGTGCTGTGGTTCTGGGGGGAAATTTTTCGACTGTTCCTACCGGGTGACTAAAGGTACTAGTCGGTACTGTGTACCTGTACTATTGTTCCCCTTTATTCCTGCGTGGGAGTACTATGTACGGGCGCGGTACCTAGTGGACTCTGTAATATTGCCTGGTATAGCCCAATACCAGCACTGTGCCACCACGTGCGGGTAGGTGTGGCGCAGTCCGGCCCTATCTCCTGATGATCTCTTTCGGATCCGCGATACGGTCATTGCCATGGAGCTTTGAAGGCCAAGGTCGGTTCTGAGCCACTTGGAAGTTCTGACTGGTCCGATGTCTCAGCTTCCCTTTGGTGATCACCGAGTTGTTACCAAGGTGTGGATGAGTCGTGGCTGTGCGAGAAGGTTTGACCCCATCTCACTATTCATTGTCCGTAATTTACCTCCGTATTGCACACTTTCGTATTCGGTACCGCTGGCCACTGGGGCCCGTCACACTTGGTTTTTGCGCCTTAAAGTTCTCTCCTCTTCTTTTTCTTCCTCCCCGTCGCAAAGAGCCGAAGCGACCGATCGCTCTTCCAAGTTCTGAATGCGCTGTAATTTATTTCCTGTCTTTCTCCTCTTTCTCCGACCTTGATAAACAGACCTCCTCCCCAGCGGGCAACGTGGGATCGGTGCTCCTTTGTGTACAATCGCTGTCGTCAGCTTTGTCTCGAAATTGACCCCTCCGCCATACATTGAATCAATGTCCCCTGCAAGTGTGACCTGGTAAAATTGGGTACCCGCCAAGTGCCAGGCAAATCGTTTCTCACAGCATCACTGTTGCTACGGAAAAGTAGATCTGACAGCCCTTCCTGGCCTTGCCAACAAGCTCTTCTTCTTCATCCTTCTTCCCAATTACTGGCATCACTCGCTTGCACGGCTTCCTCCTGCACCGGTCCCTGCTGCCAGTACCGTACAACAACGGAAGCGCTGGCCGTTCATTGATCCGTTACCTCCAGGGCGGCTCGGCTTGCCTTACTTATCCCCTCAATTCACACTACACGGCGAGTACGACGCTTTCTATATCCCCTTCAGAGTATTACCCCCCTTGGGTAGTGTTGTCCGGTCTCTGCCGCCATTTTTTTGGACGGCGTAAATAGCCTCTCCCTTTCTTCCGAGACTCCTCTGTCTCTTTTAAAGATACATGGCAGGCGTGCAACTGCAACAACCCACCATGACCGACTACCGATTGCCGCTCCATCAGCCACCACCTGCTCGGAAACCGGTTCCTGGGATGCATGCTGGTTATCCATTCCAGTCCTATGATGGACCTCATAAGCAACAGCTATCTCCTCACCCTTCCCTCACTCACAATCGGGGCCGGATGCCTTCGGCCAGTGCGTCGTCGCCCTATCTGGCTCAGCAGCAACCGTACTCCAATACCCCTTCGCCACATCATACCATGACTTCTACTCCTAGTTACCCTCCTTCGAGAAGAATGTCCAGCGCGACGACCTCCACGAGCTCGACTGGCAATGCCGCGGGTCACTCCGCCGTTTCCGATATCCGCAGAAGCACGTCGTCGCGTTCCGCCAACTCTCAGCTGGGTTATGTAGCTCTGATGCGGAGGCAGAAGGCCACGGTATGGTGTGATCGATCACAGCCGGAGGATCCCCGACTCCGAGCCCAAAAGCTTGCCGACAAGAAGAGAGCGTACCTCGAAGTCCATGGCGCAGGCGCCGGTGGACGGGCGGGTACCCTTGGAAGCGGTAAAATTAAACACTCCAAGGGAGGCACTGATTTCTCACCCTCAAACCTCGTGTCGGCGACTGTTCCCGTACGACTCAGTGCTAATGAAGTGGGGGATGCAGATGAGGATGCACACAGCGATTATGGATTTCCTCATCGTCGCACCGGCAGCGGTCGCAGCTCTTTGGGAAGCAACCACCGTTATCCCAGTGGCTATCAGCGGACGCCCCAGGGCACCGTGGGCAGTAACAGCACTCCTCCGAGCGAGAAAACGGATTTGCCCAATGTCACGGAGCATCCGCCGGCGGAAAGCACCGAGGAAAAGAAAGTCAAAGATGACGCCGCTACCACCTACAGCTTCGAGGCCGCAGATGAGGACAATTTCGGGAGCGTAGGGGAGATGGCTGCCCCCAGTGCAGTTACCACGGCGGCCGAAAAGGCGAGGAGGGCGGACGAACTAAGACGGCGGGGTAGTGTGGACGATCGCACGAGCACGATGACCAATGTCCGACTTTTTGTTGCAAATCCAGACCTCAGTGATTAGTGGCACTTTGTATCGTCATATATCGCATTTATCTTTCGGATCTATACTCACGAAAATACCCAGCTCGGCTGAAGTTTGGCAAACAGTCCGACCTCATGCAGTTTATGCCAACCTTTTTTATTTTCTTTCTTTTCTCTGCTTCTACCTTACCCTTCTATGTTTCTTCTCTCCAGGATTACTCTCGGCGAGTAGTGCTCGAGCCCGGCCTGGATCCCGGGGCCCCGTACCTCGGTTTTTGTGCTGCGTGCAGGCAGCCTGATGCATTGCGCTTCTTGTTCTGTTTTATTCCCCTCACTGCATGTTTTGGCGCCTGTGCTCCTAAAGCATTGGGTTGCGTGCTACTGATCTTGTATCAGTGGCACCTTGGGCGTCTTTTATGGATTTACGAGCAGCTAGTAATAATAATATCGTCTGTACATACTTTGCAACCTGTGCTATTAGTGGTGTATATCGATTCAATTTGCGTGTAGGGTTGCAAGATTTATTATACCCTTAACAAATTAAGTTGAGCTACATTAAACAGACTACAATCTAGTACCCTAATGCGAGCGTTGAAGCAATGAGCAAGTCTAAGCCATAGAAACTACTAAGTTGGTTGCTTGGTTGGTTAGAATACTATCATTCCCCCAACTTACATAATCCCCCACACGTGCCCCTGACGCGAAGCAGTCGCGCCCGACAATCCAATTAACGCGTTTCCGACTCAACAACCAATCCCTCCGATGACATGCCAGACCGAGGATCCTATATGCTGTCGCGGAATTGCTTTTCCATTAGACTATCTCTATTGACATATTATTATTATTATTATTATTATTAGTATTCTACGAGGCGAGACTGTACGTTGTTTGAGTCATTGAGGGAGTTCTTGTCATTTTCCTTGTTCCTGGTGAACCGACCCGACCCAACCCAACCCGATTTGTTCGATGTGTGTGAGAGTACCGACCTTCTACCCTTGACTCCAGCCTACGGTTTACTTCAACCTCATCTTTAAACCTGTCTTGAGTAATCATTACCCGGGTCCAATCCCCCAACAAGAAAAAAGGAGGGAAGGAAGGAAAGAAGGAAAAAGCCAACGACTGAAAATGGAGGTCTCGATGGACACAACAAGTCCAGCCGCCGCGCTCTCTCCCCTCCCCCAGTCACAATCACAATCGCAGCAACCATCATCAACGGCGACATCTACAGCATCCTATTCTGCATCTCCGACGACCTCCAGGAAACGTTCCGTCCAAGAAATCGACGCACACGCCACTGTTGACCCCTCCGACAAAACAAAATCCCCAACATATACCGATAAAGAAAACCAGGAGAATGCCGATCCCTCGTTACAAAGTTCTACACGTGTGTCCCCTGTCTTGGAGATGAGCCACGTATTGATTGTAGGTGGGGGCGCGAAGCCCAATGATGAGGTCCCGGCACGGAATACAAAGGAGGCTACGCTGGGGAAATCGGTTCCTAGTCCCGGATCAACCCATTTGTCTACGGATGCGGGCGCGGATACCCCTGCCGCTAAGAAGAGGAAGCTCTCTCCTGCGAGTAAGGAGGCTAAACAACAGGAGAAAGAAGCTAAGCAGCTGGAAAAGGAGACCAAGGAACGTCAACGATTAGAAGAAAAGGCAAAGAAAGAAGAGGAGAAGAGAGTGAAGGAAGAGGAGAAGAAAAAACGGGACGCAGAGCGAGAGGAAGAACGTAAACGGAAGGAAGAGAAAAAGAAGGCGAAGGAAGAGGAGAAGGCTGCGAAAGAAGAAGAAAGAAAGAAAAAGGAGGCAGCCAAAGAGGAGGAGAAGCGCGCGAAAGAAGAAGAAAAAAAGAAGAAAGAAGCAGCCAAAGAGGAGGAGAAGCGGAAAAAGGAGGAAGAGAAATTGAAGAAGGAGAGAGTAAGCTTCCTACACCGACAACTCAGGCCCTCATGTATGGCTCGTCTAACAGTTCATTCGTAGGCTCAACCCAAGCTGAATGCCTTCTTCGCGAAACCAAAGCCTCCTGTGCAGCCCTCAAGCTCAGCGCTTAGTGCGTCGCCCAAGAAGTCGTCTGGGGGTGATGGCAGCACAAATGAACCCTCTCACGAAGCTGGCACTGTGTCAGATTATCAACGAGCATTTCCTGAATTCTTCTTACAGTCTCACACGAAAGTCGCCCCACCGCATGTGTTTCAACGTGATCCAGAGGCCCTTCGACTAATGAGAGAGAAGCTTGATGCGTCCATGAAGTCGTCTAATAACTCAGAAGAAGCTCTTGTATTTCGGCCTTCAGAAATTTTCAACATGATGCCATACAAGCGACGGCGAGGAAGACTGCCTGCCTCTGTCAGGGAAATCCTCCAACAGATTCAAAGCCTGAACGATCAAGCAGGGACGTCGGAGGCTGTACAGCGACAACGGGGTCTTCTAAAGGAGGTCCGAATGAAATCTCTGAGGTTTGGTGAAGATGTCCGACCCCCCTATCAAGGAACGTACTCTAAGCCCCTGTCCGAATCGTCGGCCTATAAGATGATGCGGAACCCCTTCTACCGCGGCTTACCTGAGACGAATTACGACTATGACTCCGAGGCTGAATGGGAGGAGCCGGAAGAAGGCGAGGAACTCGACTCGGAGGAGGAGGAAGAAATGAGCGAAGACGGCGAGGATGACATGGATGGCTTCTTGGACGATGAGGAAGACCAAGTGGTTGATGGGAAGAGACGTCTTATCGTTGGCGATCTAGAGCCCGTCTGCACCGGCATTCAATGGCACGATCAGGGTGTGAAACCGGAGTTGAAAGCATACAGGGTCGAGACCATATCAGATGCAGTGTCGTTACCTATTGACCCATTCTCAACAGTGTACTGGCAAAAACCCAAGACATCGGAGCCAGCTCAGACCAGTGGTGCGGGACGGTCATCGCTTCACTCTTTCTTGGGTAACCCGAGTGCGTCGACGCAGGACGGCAGCGCACTGCCACTGTTGGGGTCCGGGAAATCCAAGCGACCCTTTCCATCGGAATTGCTGGCGGAGTTCAAGCAAGTTGTGGACGGAAGCGATCTGTCGAAGTTAGGGTTGATCGAAATTCTGAAGAAAAGGTCGGTAACGCAGGGTCCCTTCAGTTTCATCTGTCGCTAATGATAACCCTAGGTTTCCGAAGGTTTCTAAAGATGCCTTGAAAGACACGTTGAACAGCGTGGCTACTCGGGTTGGACAGAAAGAGGCTGAGAAGAAATGGGTTTGCAAATAGTGATGGTATTGGAGGAGACATGACAGCAAGCGTTTCGATGTTCCGAAGAAAGACAACGCATGCCACGGATGGCTGGAGTTCTGGCGTCAGGTTCACCTTGGGTTGTGCTGGGAATAGACTACCCTTGAGGGAAATTTATTGGTTGCGGGTGCTTCAGATCCTCAAGTACCAGTGGAATTGCATGATAATTCGCAGCCACTGGTTTGTTTGCGATTGATGTGTAATGACGGCGATTGCTTTAGAGGGCCAGTGCAATGGGAGCTGGACGTTGATATTGTATATGGAGATATTACACGGAGCCGGGTTATTAACTACATGGGCCGCTATTTTTTTTTTTTTTTTTTTTTTATCAATGATACCTCCTGCACATCTACAAGGGACAAACCCTAACTCAGTCCGACGTTTGAGAGGAAAGCCGGGGAAACGGGTAAAAAATAAATAATAATAAAAATAAAAAAAAAAAGCAATCAGAAGAAATGAAATATAATAGAAGGTGCTAAAATTGGATCACATCGAATAGTTCATTTTTCTCAACCATAGCTGCAGTGTGTTGATGACACGGTAGGTGATCATGCAGTTCTAGACAGAAGCATGCGTGAGCAAGTATGAGTTGTTATTGAAGGTATGGCGATTGGCATGCAAACATGACTGGGTTCAAGTGATTCAGCTGAGGATATCATCTGGACTAGACTGCTTTAGGGCTAGTCGGGGCAAGTTGATCAGTGGCGGTTGAACACGTGCCAGTGGGGTTCTGGAGTCATTAGGAGGAATGATTAATACGAAGCAGCGATGTTTGGGACTAGTTTATTTGTTGTTGCTGGGGCATTGATTGCTGTTGATTCCTTTAGTTTTCTTTTTCTTTTACTTTTGGGTTCGGTCTTTGCTTTGCTGTCACTGCGGAGTAGTTTCGGCAGTACTAAGATGGATATCTTCCTAGTTGCAAACATTCGGAGGAATTCCCACTATTCATACTATCTAATGATCCTTCTAGGAACCTGGCACCGTTACTAGTGGACCACTAGTATGTATCTCACCTCTCTTAGATGACTGAGGGAAGAGGGGGGGAAGAGAAAGTAAGATGCAGTTTCATGCATCCCAACCCCCAGAAACAGGAAATGGACCAGAAATCCCCTCCTAAACCTCAAGGCCAGCAGTAAGGGGTGGTTGGGCAACGAATCATGGGGCACGGAGGGAGCCAACCGGAGCCATCATGCATGTATGCAGTGCCAACGCATCACTGACGGTTTACTAAACTCTTCCTCCTTAGGTACTTAGTTTGTACTCGTCCCCGACTAGTTCCAAGTGGTGGTACATACAAGTCGTCTGTCTATGTATCATTCGACTCGCATTAATTGTGTTGCGATCGTCCTCGGCCTTTTGTAAAAAAGAAAAAGAAAAAAGAAAAAATAAACAAATTCTACCTTTTTTTTTTCCCTTTTTTTTTTTTTTGATTTCTTCTTCCTTGTCTTCTGTTGCTCTCCCGCCATCTGCCATTCTTAGTACCTCGAAATAATTGAGTAGAAATCCCCTACGCGGGACGGAGGAAGTGGGGGGCGCTGTTCTTAGTATAGGTATTGATGATTTTGCAGCAGAACAGGAGAAAAATGGTGGGATTTCAGCAATAACTTTTTTTTTTATTTGGGGTTTGATCTTCGTGTTGAACTAGATCATACCGAAAATGATATTTCCTAGTAATTTGCGAATGTTTAATATTCTCGTTGGTTTTATAAGGAGAGGTTATTGAAGAAAAGGGAACCATATAGTACACACATATGTACGGAGTATGTACATACTCCACATCCACATCCACACACAGAGGAAATGGAAAACTATGGACCCTAAATAAAGTATTTTCCATAGTTCCAGTCTCTCGAGAGTCACACCAACATTGCCTCACTTAAACCCAGTGTACGCCTGCAGTTGTCCCTCCACTGCATCCGTCCGATTCGAGTCACCGCCAGCCTGGCACTTGGCTCCCGGCGAACAAATAGGAAAGCGTCGTGCTTGTTCGCTTGCTTATTCTCCGTCCCAACTTGACTCTATTGTTATTGCCCCTACTTTAGTGGCATACTCATACATACATATTGCCAACAGACATCATCCAACCTGAACCAAAGAAAGTCTCCTTTCGTCGCCCATTTCCCCCCCTCCCCTCCGCGTTCGTCCAACCATTACAGGCCGAGTGACTCCAACGTACATCCTCACTAAACCATACAGAATTCCCGGATTCTTTCGATTTGCTGGCAAGCAATCGCCCACTAAGGTAGTCCTTCTCTCTCACTTACGTCGGCCTTTCTTTCACACATTCTTCCCTCTCCCTCTTCTGCTCTCTGCATGTCATCCATCCCTCCGCCAATTCAGCCAGTTGTCTCTTATCGTCTGGACGAGACCGTCAGATCGGAGTTTCTCTTCCTGCTAATAGGCTCCCCATATTATTTGATCTATTATTCATATTTCTGTCTTTCTATATATTTTTATTTTTTATTTTTTTTTTACTTTTTCTATTCTACGATCGTTTCTTTATTTGATTGATTGATTTTCTTCCTTGATTCTTCTATACTTGTGTCTCTTCTCTTTCCCCCCCCCTCCTCTCTCTCCCTCTCCCTCTCCCACAATCCCTCATCCACGACCTCTTCATAACATCCCACTGTCTATTTTCCTTGCCTCCTTTACCTTTGTCTGCCTCCTCTTCTACCCCGCCTTCCACCCGTCCTTATCGTCCATCTATCAACCCTGGAGCTGTCGATTGTGTCGCATTGCCCTCAACAGGATACTGTTCCCCATGAGGACCGTCATCCTTTCTCTTCTCACCCTTTAAGGGCTAAACAATGCGATAGAGAGGCGGTTCCTAAAGCTAGGGGCAACTTGCGACCTCAAACATCCTCTTGGCTATCTGGCCGGGAAACTGCCAATGGCAACATCATGTTCGATGCCCAATCTGATGGTCTCTCGTCGACCTTAGCTTATGTGACCAGTACGTTCTAAATGATTAATTAATTTACTTATTTATGTTGGGGCCTGTTTGCATGATCGTCAGCCCCCCCCTTTTTTTTCCCCCCTGCATTTTGTCTTGCGCATATAATTACCACTTCCTACCATCGCAACACACTCAATTCTCTCGCCTTTGGATGAGAACTATACCGCTTGCTTCGCTAACGTTCTCACCCGCTTTTTCAACGCCAGATCTAATGCCATCCATTCGGCCTGTTTCAACATGTGATAGTACATCTCAGTCACCTGCTGCGACTGCCAGCATGTCCCCAATCCGGTTCTCCCCCGAGTTTACGGGTCGGATTATAGGTGAGTCTGGAGACTCGGACCTCGCAAGTTCGCGATTCATCGCAACACCCGTCTATTCCGACAGTGGATGTCCCTCGGAAATGCCGCCCCGCACCGTCTCATCCGTGCCTATGGAGGATGGCCCTAAGGTTTCTTTTGAGAGTTTGGCCAAATGTTATCGCCAAAATCAGCAGAAACAAACCCGTCGGAAAATTTTGGAACACCGTCTCCATGCCACCAAAGTGTCGATGGGCATCTCTGCACGCCTGGTCCGCGTGGGCGCCGCCGTTCAGCGCGGCTTGGTTGACCGATTGAGACATGATGACAAGGCCAATTTCATTTCACTCTACCAGACCCTGATTGATCTCCAGGAATCCTGTGATTCTGCCTTTCGGCGCCACTTTCACCGGCAGGACCCGTTGGAAGAATGGCCATCATCTCCCGAGTCCACAGTGGATCGTACCCCGGATTTTTTCGTTCAGTTGAGTCCCCAATCCCGGACTGACCTGATTGAAATTCTGCAATTGGTCCGCACAGACCCTCAGTTTTTGTTCGAACGATTGTGCAGCTTGACTCCGGCCCAGCTAGGCACTTTGGTATCATCTTCAACTCCTTCGTGGGACGCTGGCGATCTCACCTCCCCTTCAACTCCCCGGTCCCGGAATTATTCTTCTTTCTCCAAGCGCAATATTTCCACCTCCATCCCTGTTAAGGACCATGTGCTTGCCTTTGAGAGAGCAGACGCTATATCCACTATGTTGTTTAATGCCTTTGCGGCCCCGCTGAACTCGGACGCCCCTGAGGCCAAACTGCGCCTGGATGTGTGGTCTTCTGTTTGCGCAAAGCTCATTGCGGATGGCAGCAGTAGATTCCATCCTCTCCTTAGCCACATATTGGCCGCCTGGTCCATAGGCAGTGATTGGAAAGCTAAGCCCAAATTTGAACTCTACCTCATGGATATTCTGCAAACTGGTGCATTCCTCTTGGAACATGTAGATACCCCACCTGGTCTGAACTTTGACGCCGAGCTTCCAGACCCTTTGAAAACGGATGTAGCCGAGGAATTCTTTGCCTCTGCGGTAGATGACTTGTTCCGACTTTTGGATGACCCAGACGGAGGACTTCCCGTTGGGGTGATGGAGCTGAGCAGCGCCATATTGCAAAAGCTGGATCGCCAGGACTGTCGTGATCGTTTCCTGGAGTTCCTGTTTACCAAGTGGTATTTCTCCAAATTCCTCTATGGTGCACTAACCTTCCCTGAGGTATGATTTTACTCACTTGGTCTACCTTTCCCTCCTTTTTTTTTGATGGTCTGACCTTGTTTTTAGACGCACGGACTGTTGCTTGACTTCCATATCAAAAAAGATGCGCGAGAGAAACTCCTAGGGCAGGTTGGGCTCCAAGCTTATTACCAGGTCTATGCTATCCTACGCTCAATGTATGCTGCGCTCGTTGTTATCTAATTGCTGCAGATAATGAACTAAGCTGACGAAATCTACCCCTCATAGGACTCACTTCTCTATGGCGCGTCCCACGGTCAGGCAGCATGTTGAGAACATGCTTTCACGATTCCAAAACTCAGTCTCTGAAAGACAAGCCCATATCCCACGCTCGTCGTACATTAGCTCTGCAGGTGGACGCGAGTCACCAGCTATCTTTTTGATGCTTTCGGCCACTGACGTTCTCAGTCTACTGAATGCCCTTTTCCCTAGGACATGCTCTCCGGTGTGCAACTCTCCAACCCCATCTTCGGGAATTTCTGGTTCTTTCAGGTCACTCAGGTCTCTGCAATCCCTATCGGAAAGGCAGGGAACTTCGGTAGCCGAGCCGGGCTTTTTCAAACCTATTGTCAATAATCACTCCAGGCGGCCTTCCATCAGAGGACTCTTCTCAACTGACATGGATTTCTTGTCCCTCCCTGAGAATTCCTTAGCTCGCAATGCCGATCGGATTCGCTTTGAACTGTCCGATATGGGTGAACCTTACGGTCGTTCCAACTTAGAGCCCCCATCCGCCGAAGAATGGACCATATTTTCAATTGCCCAGAACGGAAGGCGCCTGCTCTGGAGCCTTTTCTCTGACAGCCAATCCACTTATCCGAAAAATGCATCAGACGATGATGTGCAGTCCACCACCTTAGGTCTGGAAGACAACTTCGAAGCTCTTCAAACAGCTATCGTAAAACTGATCCAAGACAATCCGGCCGATGACCATGTTGAATTTGACTTTCAAGCTCACGATGCTTTGCAAACAGGCAGCCTATCCCTCAAGCAAAGGTTTGATCGGGCTATGGCATCTTGTCACCACACCTCTGATTTCATTGGTGCCCATTATTGGTGGAACGCTGGCCGACAGCTTGTCCGGAGTGCCGCCAAGTCTCCCACTCGGCTTGCAGATGACGCGTGGATTCTTCAGCCAATGCATACCTCAAGTGTCCGCTCCCTTCAAACCTCACGCTCCGTTATCGAACGCTGCGAAGGTGACTTTGTCGCCCTCGACCGCCATATGCAGCGACTGCAGCGAACAGTAAAGGACATGATGGCCACGGTAGCAAAGCTGCGAGACAAGATGTGGTACATGACCGATGTAAAGAACTCAAAGAGGTATGAGGAAGCTAAACACGTTGCGTTGGCTCTGAAGACGATGATATACTCCGCGCGTCTCTACAAACAGACGCCTAATGAGGGTCGATCCCGCGCCACTGGAAGATCATTCGGGGGGGCTTTACTTCAAAAGCCAGAGCTGCAGGTCATGGATCTTATGAAGGCACCGAGGAGCTATGGTAGTCCAAATAAACTCTCGGACGAACAGGTGGATTTACTTCGAAAATGGCTGAGCCACAACAATATCGAGAATTTCTGTAAAGGCGAGGAACGCATCCACCGATTTTGTTACGAAGTCAAATCAAGTGTCAGTCGACTAGTCGGAGAGACTATGTCGGAGACCCCTGTGTTGTGGGCTAGTGAGCTATACCATCGAGAACGAGCCAAGTACGAAGGCTCCAGCAACCGAAGCTTCCTTGGTCTTTCTTCTAGTCTACGGCCCTTCAGCATCGCCAGTGATGAGCCTAGCAATCCACTACATGCGTATTCCAATAATGTTCGCCCATCCGACTCCCAGTCAAGGTTCTCACATGAACTTCCTCCGTTGAATACGAAAACATCCTTCCAAAGTTTAATCTCTGACAAGTGGAGGGCTCCTCGAGAGCCATCTATCGCCGATACTTCTTCTGTCGTGGGCTCCCCAGGAAGGACCCCATCGACCTGCACCGGAGATTCTTACAGCACGTTTTGGTCAGCACCACATCAGGCCACACAATATGCCCCCAGCGTATCCAGCCTCTACTCTCGACCCCCATCACTCCTGAGTGAGACTGCAAGCCAACAGCCTCGACGCAACGATCGTAAAATTCTCGGAAAGGCAGCATTTCTGGACGGACTACGACAAACGCTTACAAGCCTCTTACTAAGTGATTTAGGCTCCCCAGTGTGGAGCTGTGGTAGCGAGACCGATGCCTGGTTTGGTAATGCTCTAGACCAGAAGAGAATCCAAGCACAATTGAAGAAACGGTCCCGGATACAGCGGTTCTATGCAGAGTACGACGAGCGGCTGATCCGCCAGGCTATCCATCGCACATCGCCAAGCTCTCGAAGAAGCAGATCACTTGGACCTTTAGAGGGAGATGAACCCCATATCATGGAGTCATTGTCTTCATCCCCGAGCGATGCCAATGTGAGACTTGACGACCAATCCCCATTCTCATACAAGGCCGTATTTCGTCGTTTGATCGAGGTCTTCTCACGCCATGGAAGCCCATTTGCCAAGCTGAAAGCGTTACGTGACCTGCGCGCCTTGGTCATCGCCTCCCTACATTCAGTTAATGACGACAAAATTCATTCCCCCCTCGTCGATGAACCGTCTTGCCACAGACGCAATGGTGTTCAAGGGAGGAGAGCAGCTCGCCACAGCTTTGTGGAAACCCAGACAAATCGGGTTTCGGCCAGATTTACCCATACTCCAATGTCGTCTACCGACGAGTCAGTCATCTTTGACTCCCGCCCCTCTGACTATTCAGCCCCGACGGAAAGCCAAATCGTGGAAGCCCTGCGTGATATAATTCTCGAAGTGAAACCAAAGACTCTTTTCCGTGATTTGCAATTCATTTCATCATTTGTCCCCGGTGAGACATTAAACAAGACCGATAGTGGAACCGCATTCCTACAGTTTGGCTTGGCTGCCCTAAGTTTGAAGGACGAGATCTGCAACAGCATGGTTGAAATCGCCGACAACATTGTCTCCCAAGAGCTCAGCCGGCGCCACCCTCCTCATGGGCATGACATGCATGCACGACCCGGTAATGCCATTGAGGATGCTGCCGGGATGTGGATCATTACTGCGAAGGAGGGAAACCCAGTTGCTCAGCGGGAATTGGCCATTCTCTATCTCACTCACCCGGAGCTCCTCCCCCGTGTTACCCTGCCTCTCACTTTTCTGCGGGATACCTTTAAGGAGGAGACATTACTCCGGAGGGATAAGGACCCCAAGTCTGATCCGCAGAGCATGTGTCTGGCACTGCACTGGATGCAGCTGTCGGCCAACGGAGGAGACGAGCTTGCGCGGAACAGACTTCGCGAACTTGAAGAATTTGATTCTATCGCATAATATTCATTACAACTATGCATGTGACTTTTCAAATAGCTTACACTTTTCGAATTCTTCTTTTTTTTTGTTATGACACGATACCATTCATGACCTACTCTCACCTGGTTTTTTTTTTTTTTTTTTTTTTTTTTTTTTTTTTTTTTTTTTTTTTTTTTTTTTTTTTTTTTTTTTTTTTTTTTTTTACTCAGCCCTCTTTGAGCCTCTACACCTGGCTAATCCCTTTGCATTTATTTACAGTATCTTGCTAACATGGAGACTTTCCTGTCTTGTAGTTGTACTCTGTTACATCAGCGTCTCTTATATCTTGCATGAGAGCAGGAACGGAGCATTTGGATTCCTTCCTCCTCTTATTATCTGCAGTCTTCTTTTCTTAGTCTTATCTTATAAGATTCCCCTATACATGTTATTGATTGATTCTTTTTATCTTTATCTTCCATTTTAAACAGGGTGGCACTCTGCTTTCTCTTCGCTTCCCTCGAATTTTGGGTTCAGAATCTTTGGAGTTCTATACCTTGGACTGGACTGTAGAGATTATAGGAGTGGTGGCCGTCTGCTCATCAGATACAATTTCTATTGCCCTCTCCTTGCTTTTTATAGGGCTAAAGTATGTCGTTATAAAGGTCTATAAAATTGAGGTTTCGGAGCAGTCATACCCTGGCAGTTGATATGAGCAAGTAGTCGAGCCAAAAGTAATCCGTGATGGAATTCTTTGACCACAATGGCCACTGTTCATTGCGCCTTTTATTTTGCTCTTCTCTAAGTGTAAATCTTTATCGATATGGCACGAATACTACGGGTACCGCCGAGCTGGTGTTGAAATTTACTGTTTGTTTTAGTAGGTCCTTCGACGTCATCGGTAGCAGGGCCCCACGTGCCAGTTCATGAAACTGTTGTTTCCGCTTTGTCGCTCGCATTTTCACCATCCTTCCATTTCTAGACGTGGTGAGCAGGACTACTTCTAACAACCTGCAATTAATCACCCTGTGCCTTCTTTTTACGTGTCCGAGGGTCTGGATTATTCTTCAGCTGAAAAGGAACAACCCCTCCGCAGCAAACTTCGGTCAGCCTTAGGAGGTTTAAGAACCCCTCCAATCCCGCATCATTCTGACGACCACTCAGCCTCACTTTCATGATCTTTGCGATCTCAGCTGACTAGGTTTTCCTTGACTCTCGCTTCTTCTCTTTTATTGCGCCTATTCCTCCGCGGTCACATTTTTGTTTCCTTTGTATTGTCCTTCTCTTTTCGTCCGATCTTGTCCAACGGCTATTCTACGATGGTGCACAACATGGACGAAACACACAAAAGACCCAAGGGTATCCTGAAGAACCCTAGCTCTCAGAACATTCAAACAACACATGAATCGTTGGCCCCGCGCGCTCCATCTACAGAGCCCATGGATACCAAGGAGCTCACCCTGCAAAATACCCTACAGAACGCTGGGCGCCGCCACTCCTCGTCCACCGCACACCCTGGGACCGCGTCTCGACGCCAATCGGTGGCTAGTGTCCAACATGACGAGAATTCGCCACGGTTGAAATGGGACGAGGCAAATCTTTACCTGACCGAACAGGAGAAAACCGCAAAGATGAAGATCGACGAACCCAAAACACCGTATGCGCCACACTATGATCCAAGCCAGGACGAAGAAGAAATGCAGCTTGCAGAAGCTGAAGACAGCTTGATCGATGCACAAGGGGTGGTCGTGGACGAACTTGATCAGACGACCAAAAATGCTCGGAAAACAGTCGCTGAGGATGAGATTCCCGATCTCGAGCTAGGAGAGCCGGAGGGGTCGATCCCTGATGGTGCTGGAATCCAGGACAGCGATCGCATCGTACGCGCGCGGAGTCTAAGCAATGAGTCGCACCGGAGCGACAAGCATGTGGTGATGGGGGCCAACGAGCCCAACGGCGGGGCTGGCGCAGATGCAGACCACTTGTTGAGTCCCGAAGAGGCCCAGGAGAAGCATCGCCAATTTGAACAGCAAAGGAAGAGGCATTACGAGATGCGGAATATCAAAGAACTTCTTGCGTATGTGACCCTTCATACGGGACTTTCCCGTAAGTGTGCTAACATTCCGTCTTAGCCATTCCGTAGATCTAGAGGAAATGGACGAGGATGAAGACGAAGGTGCGAGCAAGAACTCTGCTCCAGCTGTTCCGCCGCCGATGCCACAGATTCCCCGAGAGTTCTTGAGGGGAGGAAAGTAGAGGCTGCCTTTTTCTATTGGCATTATATTTGATCGCTGCCAAGTTGTGCCTGTTCTCTTCTCTTCTCATCTCTTCTTCTTTTTTTTTTTTTTTTTTTTTTTTTTTTTTTTTTTTTTTTTTTTTTTTTTTTTTTTTTTTTTTTTTTTTTTTTTTT